CTGGGCCAAAGCTCCGCTTGGGGAGCTGAGCCTGGGGAGGCCCTGGGGTGTCACGGGGTCCTGACCATGCGGGTTTAGGGCTGAGCTCCCAGATCTGGGGCTCTTCTGGTTGGTTTTTTACATGTCCTCCAAAAGGTAAGTGCCCCAACCTGCTCTTTAGCACTGGAGCTCAGAGCACAGCCCCAGAGGGCAGCAGGGAGGCTGACCCAAAATGGGGAGCTGGGAATAGAAGGTGGTGCTGGTGGGATGGGTCCTGCTCTGCTCTCACCATGGGACAGCCCCAAAGGGCAGCAGGGAGGCTGGCACTGGGGGTGCTGGGGAGGGAAAGGGGGCTCTGAGGGGTCAGGATCCTGCTCAGCACTCACCATGGAGCTGGCTCTCCACACCAGCAGGGTCACTGCGCTTCGGTGCTGCTTCAGCAGGGTGATGGCGGGGTGAGTGATCTCCCGGTACTGGCTCTCGAAGACGATGAAGATGGGTTTCCTGGAAAGCTCCAGCAGCCTCCAGAGCCCTTCCCTGCGAGACAAGTGGGTGACAGGAGGGTGAGGGACCCGGCAGCCCCTCTCCCATCCTGTGGGAGTTGCCGTGCTCCTACCTGAAGCTGCTGTTGCACCACTCCTGCTCCAGGTACGCCACGGAGAGCACCACAATGAGGCGCCGGCACCGGCTGACATTCATGATGAGGTCAGCTGATGGCTCTGTGGGCAAAAGGGGTGTCAAAGCCCCCAGGTGCCTGTGCTACCTCCTGCCCAGCCCTGCCTGGTGCCTACCTGAGTTGGGCAGGATGTTCTGTTCATCCAGGAAGAGCTTGTAGCCGTGGCGGTTTTCCAGCTGCGGCTTCACGATGAAGTGGATGAACTTCCGATCATCGGGGGCATTGGCGTGGGAGACGTAGGCATCGTACAGCTTCCCATCTGCAGAGATCCACGGGGCAGGGATGACGTGGGAAGGGCTGTGTGAGCCCTCCCAGGCCGCAGGAGGCTGCTCCCAGTGGGAACACCTCTGGCTCACCGTTGATCTCCAGCTCTCCGTAGCGGTCCCGGTACCAGAGCAGCGCGTTCAGGCGGCACTGGACGTAGAGCACAGCCAGGAGCACCAGGAGCAGCAGGACTAGGAGGGCTGCCAGCACGGCTGGCACATGCCCCACTGCCTCTGCCAGGACAGGGAAAGGCACGGTGAGCAGCACACCTGGGTTTGGTGGGTTTGCACACCAATGTGGGAGAAGCAGCAGGGCCCCTATCACTCTCCTCAATCCCCCCCTGCACCTGGGCTCTCCGTGGAATGCCCCCTCCCTGTCACCAGCAGGTCCCTACCTGCTCGCCGCAGGGTGAAGGTGGCCGTGGCATTGCTGATCCAGCAGGCAAACACCCCAAAATCGGCATCCTGGGTGAGGTTGAGCTGCAGGATGCTGGCCAGGAGCTGCTCCGAGGAGTTTTGGCCAGACCTGACAGGAGGACATAGGGGATGCTGTGGGTCGGGCTGTGTGGTGACAGCCCCCAAAAGTAGATGGAGGGACAGGCTCCTTACCAGACAGTGTCCTGGCTGCTGCCCCTGCCCAGCCACTGCCCGTCCTTGCTCCAGGTGGGAATGGGCTGGCAGTGCTCGGTGCCCGCCCAGCGCACGGTGCAGTTCAGCTCGACCTGGCTGCCCAGCACCAGCTCCAGCGTCTCGTTGGCAGCCGGCACCAGGATTTCGGGGGGCACGCTGCAAAGGTCTGGGGGCACAGAGGGGAGGGGGTTTGGATGGGAAAGCTGATCCAGCTCCCCCCAGGGCACACGACTGCTGTAGCCATCCCAGAAAAACAAGCTCTGCCTTGGGGGTCTGGCAGTGAGTGGCGTTCATGGCTGTTTAGCAACACGCTGAGCCGGTTTGGGGAGCTGGGAAGGACCCTCGGTGCCCTAAGAGGTGACACCAGAGCAGGACCCCCAGCTGAGCTTGCACGGGGATCCTTCCCAGCAGAGAACAGGGGAGAAGTGGGATTCCACCTACCTGCCATGGCGCGCTCAGATGACAGGCGCGGGCGCTGCCAGCATCTCCCGTGGGGGACAAAGTCCACCTGCCTGTGCCACAGGGCGGGCTGGGCCTGGGACACACCGGGAGCAGCTCTTGAGTGCTGGCACAGGGAGGGCCCAGCCACCCCCGTCGGGTGGGGGTGATTCCCACTGGGGGTGGCGGGTGCTGCTCTGCGGGGAAGGCAAAGCCACGTCCCACCCACAGCCTGGTGGCCACTGTGTCACCTGCCCTCCCCGCACTGCCTCCCAGCCTGGCTTTCCCAACCGTGAATTTATGTGTGGGAGGTGATTAATGACCAGCTAGTGGTTGCAGGATTTTAAATAAATGTGGCTTCAGCCCGAATCCAAAACCAAGGTGGGGAAATGAGCTTGGCCATGGGAAATCCCAGCTTTGGGGGGCTCGGTGGTGCCTCCTTCCCCTGCCAACCCCCTGCCTGGGCTGCAGAGCTGCCTCCAGCCTGACATGCCCTTGAACCTGCTAATTACCAGCAGACTGGTTTGTTTATGGAAACGCAGCTCCCACCTGGAGAGCTCCCCGGCGGGTTGGGAGCCTCGGCGCATTGTTACCCCGTGGCTGTGCCCAGGGATTGGGGATTGGCACAGCGGCACAACATTCCAGGCAAGCAGGGAGCACAGGGATGGCACACAGGGACCCCCCCAGCTGGCATCACTGCTATGGCCCCATGGGAAGAGGCAGATACTGGGAGCAGAGCCTGGCAAGGCTGGGCTCTGTCCCCACACACCTGATGTGGGTGATGCTGGGGCTGGGGTGGGAGTCTCAGGGATGTCACAGGGCCCATGTTTCCATGGTAAACACCCGGAATCTGGGAATCAGGAGGGGTGAAAGCCTCTCCCAGGGCTCCTCCTCTTTGCTGTAGAGCTTCAGCACTCCTGCCTGCACCCTGATTTTGAGTGGGAGCAGGGTTGGTCCCCCCATGTTTGTGGGTGTGGAGTGGGAAGGGGAGGTCTGTGCTCTGGCTTGGAGCAGGGATGCAGGCATGGTGCTTCCCTCTGGAGCAGCCTAGTGCCAGGCGTGGGGTGAAACCAGGGATCAAGGTACATGAGAGACGCCCAGTACGTGTTCAGCTTGACCGGCTGGGAGTGATTTATACCTAAAAGATTAACTGGGTTCCTCCATGGCCAGGGAAGGAAGAGGATGGGAAGGAGACAAGCCAGCCCACCTGGATTTCACATGGGGAAAGGGTGGGAGACGCTCATGAGGGTGGCATGGGGCTGTCTCTGCGTGGTGTGATGCTCCAGCTCTGCTCCTGCATGGGTCACTCCCAAACCATTTCCTCTGATGGTCGGAATAAGGAAGCTCCAACAAACTGCAGCCTGGCCAGGGGGTGTGGGGAGGCCCCAAAACCCCGGATGCCCTTGCTCCAGGAAAAGGACAGTGTTGGATGGCAGGGAATGGCCCTCGGGGCCGCCGAGGGCCAGGGAGGGAGGAGCACGGGCTAACGGGCAGCAGGGCTCCATTTCCCACATCCTGGCGTGGGGACACCCCGGATTCGAGGCAGAAGAGTGTGTGGACCTTGTGGGGTGGTGAATGATGGCTGGGCATGGCATTCCCAGGAGCCACAGCCATGGGGAAAGCGAGCAGGGCAGGGGTGCACCCTGGCCAGGGGGCTGTGGGGTGGGTGTGCCGAGGCAGGGAGCGGGATGGAGGGCCAGAACGGGAATACACAGGGAATGGGGTGAAGGTGAAAGCCTGCTGACCTCATCTGGGGCGGCTTCAGCACGGAAAGAAAAGCAGAACAGAGCTGCATTTACCTTTGGAGCTTCCCCAGCCGCAGGCTTCCTGCTCGTCGCCTCCCGCTTGAGCCGACCCGACCGGCCAGATCAGTGCTTGGAATTTCTCTCGTTTTTTTTTTTTTTTTTCCCCTTTCTGTTTTAGTAGTTTATCTATTCCTCCTCCCAGTTCAGCCCCTGCCCTGGCCGGCGCTCCCGCTGCCCCAATCCCCGGGCGCCAGGCCCTGGGAAGGGCTGGCTGTCCCTCCCTCCCGCTGCTCCACCTCCACCTGAACCTGCGGGAGGGAATTCGACAGCTCCGGCTGCAGGGGAGAGGGAAAGAGAAGAGAAAAACAGGAGGAGGGGGACAGCAACACACCCAGCAGGCGTCACAAGGCTTGGGGGCCAAGGAGGTGCCCCCGGTTTTCCGGGCTGGAAGAGCCCACGGAGGTGTCAGGGCGAGGAGAAACCTGCCATGAGCTGTGGGGGCTCCTGTTTGTTTCCTCCTCCTCCCTTTCCTTCTCTCCGTGCCTTTAGAGCCTTTTTGCCAGATGAAGCTGGTGCTGGAGGTGGTTGCTCCAGCTGGTGCTGGCCGTGGGGAGCCGGATCCGGCCGTGGCCACTGTGGACAGCAGAAATTCCCTGTGCTACTTACCATGGAGGTGATTGGAGCCTCAGGCATGGATCATGGATGTGGTCGCAGCAGCACCAGCAGCCCCTGGACAAACACCAGCCTGAGCCAGAAAAACATCAACCAGCTCAACCAGCACATTGTCTGAGGCCAAGAAGAGAAGAGGGCCACGAGTGCAGTGTATGTATTTTAATATATATATAAAATTATATTTAATAATACATAAATATACGTAGATGTATATTGAATAACTATGTATATATAAATAAACAGGTATAGGTCACAGGTAGGACTCTGGGCCTGTTCCCATGGAGAAATACCCAGACTCTGACTCCTCATTGTTTAGGATATAAGCTACCAGCGCTGTTGGCTTGGTGTGGGAGGGAAAGGGACAGATCCCTGTTGGCATCCCTGGGGAGAATCCCCTGCTCCTGGTCCCCACAGCCACTGGCTGTGTGTGTTTGGAGCAGCCTTTTTTGAGGGCTGCCCACTTCTCATGGACACTGTGATGCATCAGCTGGAAAATCCTGCATAAATCTGTTGGATTTGTGGGATGGTGAAGGATTGCATGAAAGAAGCCCAGGTCCTGGGGATGGCAGGGGTGTGGGGAGGCTTGGGAGCAAACCAGGAGCTGATAAGATATTTCTTGTCCATCAGGGTTATCCCTGTGGTAGGGAAGTTACATGGAGGAGCAGATCCAGTTTTGGTCATGATGGTGCAAAACCAGGACAAGCCTGAGGGCTCAGCAAGCTCCTATGGGGTTGTTTGTGATTTTCCATGCTCTTGGGAGTGAAGTTTTGAGGCTGAGTTGACCCTGGTGCCTTCCCCTGCAGTCCTGCCTGGGGTGTGTCACCTCCAGGGCACAGCCCCCCGGACTGACACCTTGTGAAGTGTCTGTGGCAGGACCCTTGTGGGACAGGGACAGTGCCAGGGTGGTGTCCAGCTAGGCTGGGGTCACTGCTGGTGGGAAAGGAGGGGGCTGCCCCCCAGTCCTGCTTCTGGGGTCCCCTGTCAGAGCCCCCTGAGCTGTGGCACCTGTCCAGTCCTGGGGTGTCACCCCATTCCTGCTGCAGACAAACTCGTTCTGTCTGGAGCAGGGGGCCAGCCAGTTGTCATGTCTCTAAAGAAAAAGGTGGGAGAGCCTTTTGGGATTTGCTGTGTTTTTCCCATTTCCCCAGGTATTTCCATTATCCTGGCATGTTTACCAGGCTGTGTTCCCACTGTGCATGGCCAAACACTGGTGTCCCACCAGCCAGCTCCCACACAGCCCTCAGAGTGGGCGCTGCAGCTGTGATTGTCCCCACCAAGACAAGGAAGGGTTATGGGGGATGATCGGGGGTGGCAGAGGAGGAAGGCAGGAGCAATACCAGGCAGTTTTCCACGTGGGTGCTGTATTTATTTACCGATGGCTGCTGGCTGCTGGGCCAGGAACAGCTCTCAGGACCCGGCTGAGCCCGAGATAACGACGGAGTTTTCCCGTGGAGCCGCGTCCATGGAGACAGCCGGGCGGAGCTGCAGCCGTGTGGGAGTCCTGACACGCGGGGAGGAGTTCGGGAAAGAGGGACTCGGGTGCCCCGGTGGTGCGAGAGTGAGGAAGGCAGCGGGAAAAGACGCCAAAGTGCAGCAAAAGGGCTGGAGAGGGAGGCTGGAACAAGGTAAGTGTTGTTTCCTGTGCTTAAGGAAGCGAGTGACAAGGACCCAGGTGATGTCCTGCAGCACAGCATCCTGGTGCTGCCCCTGGGTTTGTCCCTCTGTCCCAGCCACTCCCCGTGCCAGGGAGGCACATCCCAGCTCTCCACAGCATCCTTCATTCCCGAGTCAGAGAGCAGCCTGCTCCTGTGAAGCCACTGTCCTTGTCATCACTTCCCAGCTCAGTCCCAGATGGGACATGTGGCACCGTGTCCTGGGGTTCATCCAGCGCCCCTGGCACTGCCAGGCTGGGAAAGGGGCTCGAGTCCGTGTTCTCCTTGGTGGGCGGTGGCTACACCTCGGTGGAGTATTCTGCCGTGCTGGGGAGAGAGGAGAGAGGCGTTGGGAAGGGAACTGTCTGAGCTGGGAGGTGTGGGAAAACACTCCCAGTAGGAACAGGGCCTCTTCCCCAAAATAGATGGAGGAAGAATGACAGGCTGTTGGTGGGGAACCCCTGTTTGTGGGAAATCCCACAGTCAGTAGGAAGGCAGAGATGGAAAGCTGTGACAGGGTGGGGTTGGCTTGGTTGTGCACAGCCTGGCTTTTGGTAGTGTGGGGGCACAGAGGTGACTTCTGTGAGAAGCTGCTGGGAGCTCCCACCCTGTCTGGCAGAGCCAATCCCTGATGGCTCTGAGGATGGACATGCCACTGGCCAGGGCTGGGCCAGTTAGAGATCCAGATAACGTATTTAAGAAGAAAATCAAAACAAAAAAGGGGAACAGGTTTTTTGGCAAGCCAGAGAAGAGGAGGAGGCGAGAACATGTGAGGGAAACATGCAGACACAAAGGTCAGTGCAGAAGGAGGGGGAAGAGCCATTCCAGCCACTGGAGCTGAGATTCCTCTGCAGACTGTGGTGAGACCATGGTGAAGCAGCTGTGTCCCTGCAGCCCATGGTGAAGCAGCTGTGTCCCTGCAGCCCATGGAGATGCAGAGATCCCCCCATAGCCCACAGGGATCCACAGGGATGCAGAGATTCCCCCATAGCCCGTGGAGGAGATGCCCAGGCTGGAGCAGGTGGGTGCCTGGAGGAGGCTGTGATCCAGGGGAGACCTGGTGGAGAGAGGGGGCCCTGCTTCCAAGCTGGAGCAGCCTGTCCTTGAAGGACTGAGCCTGTGGAAGAGTGACCCACACCACAGCAGCTTTGGGAGGACTGCATGCCCATGGGAGGGACTCACATTGCAGCAGTTTTGGGAGGATTCCTGCTCGTGAGATTGGAGCCGTGGTGGAGAGGGTTGCAGAGAACTCTCTCCTGTGGGAAGGGACCCCATGGTGAGCCAGGGGAAGGACTCATCTTCCTGAGCAGTGGAAGAAAACCTTGGGTGATGAACTGACCAAAACCCCCGTGCCCTGTCCCTGCACTGTCGGTGGGAAGGAGGGAAGGATTCGGGGAAGCAAAGGTGTTTTAAGGGCTTATTTTACTTCTCATTATCCTCCTCTGATTTTGTTAGTTGTAAATTCACTTTGTACTTCTAAGTTGAGCCTGTTTTGCCCCTGGAGTGTTTTCTCCCGGTCCTTATCTCAACTCATGAATCCTTTGCTAATTTTTTCTCTCCTCTGCCCAGCTGTGGCAGGAGGGTGAGTGAGTGGCCTTTGTGGGTGCCTGGAGTTTGGCCAGCGTCAAACCATGACAGTTTGGAAGATGTTAGTGGGGGTGTTAGTGTTATTTGCCATCTGTTAGAGGTGGGGCAGTTATCTTCTGTTAATTGGGCAGTTTTTCTTTATCTCTCCCACAGCCAATCCTCCCTCCAGGAAATATCTTTGTTAATGGGCCATTGAATCTCATTGCATGACTGATACAATTACATCATCCCACTGGGAGATGCTCTGCCCAGGGGGAGGAGCCAAGCATTCCCACCTGGATATAATCAGAGATTTAGAACACACAGCCCCCCTTTTCCCACTGGATTCCCAGAAGAAGACCAGGCCCATCTATAACACCACTGGACCTTCAGAGGGGAACTCCACCATTCTACAGGATCCCTGTTCCAAGAGAACCACAGCTGGCACTGCAGGAGGGCTGAGCCACCCTTTAATGGCACTGCTACCAGCACCCTGGCCCACAGGGGGGCAGGCTGCATTCTGACTCTGTCAGTGGTTTGTTTTCTTTTTTGTACTATGACATTTGTATTTGTAGTTTTCCTAGTAAAGATCTGTTATTCCTATTCCCATATCTTTGCCTGAGAGGCCCTTTAATCTCAAAACTATAAAAATTTGGAGGGAGGGAGTTTACATTTTCCATTTCAAGGAAGGAAAATGTAAAATAAAACCGAGATGTAGGTGTTTCCTGAACCTCACTATCTGCTCCCATCAGGATTATGTGTGGCAGCTGGGACAGGGTGGCCATGGAGAGGGGTCAGGCTGAGCCCTTCCCAGAGCAGGGCTTAGTCTGTATGGGACAGCACACTGGGGCAGCTACAATGGTTCTGTTTCCTACAGAAATACTTAATCCTTTCTCTTTAAACAAAGTTTAGATGGAAAAATTGGACCGAGTCCTTCCCTGGTCAAAATTGCTTCTTGTTTTAACTTGGGGCTTTTCTTTTTCTGAAGGAAGAGGGGCTCCAGAGCAGAGAGATCCTGAAACCTGGCAACCCCTGGCACCTTCCAGGGCATCACCCACCTCAGTTCCTCACGGAGATGGTCGTGTTTTTCCGTCAGAATTTTATTCTTGACCCTCTGGGGCACATCGGGGATGTACCAGGCTGCGATCAGCTTCACGCACAGAGCCACGTGCTGTGGGAAGCAAAAGCAATCAGGGGCTCCCAGCCTGGACACGAGGCACAGATCCACCCCCTTTCCCAGCCCTCTCCTGCCTCCCTGGGTGCTCACCTCGAAGAGGATGAGGAAGGCGAGCCGGGCTGCGAAGATGTGCCAGAACTGGACGGTGTAGGTGTAGTCGTCAGCATTGCGGTAATCCCGGTACCTGCAGCACAGCCCCGTCAGGGCCAGCCCAGGCCCGTCCATTCTGGCCTGGATGTCACAGGGGGTGCCTGGGGGCTGCTCTTACCTGCACTCCTTGATCTGCTCCCCTTTAAATACTGGCAGCACCTTGGTGTGGGGCTCGAAGTCCTGGATGTGGAATACGGAGAGGCTGTTGTTGATGTACCCGGTGGAGCAGCTGTGGGGAAGGACTGGGTTGAGCACGGGTTGTACCTCCTATTCTGGGGAAGCAGGACCCACCTGGGGCTCTCACTGCCCACTGCCACAAAGCCTGGTGGAAGTGGAGGGCTCAGAGGCTTCTGCCCAGTTTGAGTGAACTGGGTCAGTCAGCAAGGCTTGGAGAAACAGGGGGAGGGCAGGAGGGAGCATGTGCCTGCATCCTGGGAATCCTGTAGCTCTCCAGTGTTACACACTGCCCTTTCCACTCAGTTTACCCACCACAGGGATGATGTGATGATGCCATGTGGGAATGTTCCCCTGCTCCGCTTTCCCCCCCATCTTGCTTTGGGGGACAGCTCAGCAGGGGTGGCACTGAGGCAGGAGGGGACATGGTGGTGGGGACAGAGCCGTGGGGATGCTGTGGGCAGGAACTGTCTCAGAGCTGAACTCACTCCATGCTGGTGTGGTTCTCCCTCGTGCAGGGGCTGTACATGTACTTGTAGACCTGCACGGGGATGAAGTCGGAGGTGATGGCGATCACCAGCCCATTCCCAATGACAGCCAGGATGCCAATGGCCTCTAGGACCTGCAGCCAGATCCCTGTGGGAGAGGAGCAGCCACTGAGGTCCCTCTGCAAGCTCACTGCCACCATTCCAGCTCAGGGACAGCTCTAGCATGGCCAGGTCAAGGAGGGAGCCTCCAAGCTGCACTTCAGCCTCTGGCAGAGTCTAAGCAGCTTGTCCTTCTCCCACCCATGGCTTTCCCTGTGCTGTCCCAAAGCCATGGGGGCTCAGGCTGGTGCTGGCAGGACCCCTCTCACCGATATCCTTAGCCTTCCTGGGCACCATGCGCCGGCGCAGCCGCATCATCTTGATGGCGTCCATGTGGATCTCGATGACATTGTTGACGAGGGCCAGCAGCGGGGCCAGGGGAAAGGCTGCCACGAAGATGGTGGTGAAGCTGTACTGGATCACTGTGGAGGGCAAACACAGGTGCTGGAGTGAGGCCAGCACAGAGGGGACGTCCCCCTCTGCTTGGGTTTGTCCTGCTTTGTGGCTTGGGTCAGAGGGGTTTGCAGGGGTGGAAGGGGAGATAGCCACATCCTGGGGATGCCCCGCTCTCACAAAGCTGTCAGAGAGTGGGATCTGTGGGGATAGTTGAGCCAGCCAGGCACAGGCACACCTGGGGTTACAGCCCTGGAAGGAGAGGAGGTCAGAGGCAGGGCCAAAGGCTAGCACAGGTGCTTGCTCTCTGTTTTGGGAATGATCTTGGTGTTCCAGAGCTCTCAGAGCAGGGCTGGGTGTGGAGCTGTGGCTCCCTGCCTGTGTATGGACTCCCTAGCATCCATCACTCCCCAGCCAAGGATCTGCCCCACGTACCTATCTCCAGGTACTCGTTGAACAAGCTGAAGACATTGACCTCGTTGAGTTCATAGTTATTCAGCCACTGCCTTTTGCAGGGGTCCTCTGCCTCCTCCTCCTCTCCTAACATCAGATGTCTCCTCTGGGGGTGCTTTTTCTTCTTCCGTAGCTGGTGGGATATCAAGCTGCAGCGGGAGAGAGGGATTTGTGTGGCTGCCTGAGGAGGACAGCAGGGCTGGGCTGATGCCAGCACATCCCTGGAGGAAGGGGAAAAGGAAGAAGGCCAGGGTTCCTCTCCGTGGAAAGTGCCAGTGTGGGGAGCTTACGGGATGAGATACTCCATGATGTTGCTGATGGTCTGCTTGAGCAACATGATGACAGCCATCTGGATGAAGAGGTCGGTGATGCAGCCGCTAGGGTGACACTGGAGGGGACAGCAAGACAGGGGTAGTGCCCTGCAAGCAGGGTGGCAGGGCCCGAGGGACCCTTTGGCAGGTGCTGTGGGAGAAATCTGAGCTTCCCAGAGGCTGCCTGGGCAGCAGGGAAAGGAAGAGGAGGAATAGTTTGTGGGGTCAGTGGGTGCCTCACCTCCTCCAGCCTCCAGTGGCCGGCGATGCGCACGTAGTGTCCTGGGTGGCCATTGACCCTGAACAAGGAAGCAACAGTGACACCCATGGGGTCATGGCCCTCCCGAGTCCCAGGTGGGGGCCCTGTGCCTGGTGGGGAGGGCAGGGGGCTGGGCTGTCCATACACCCTGGGGAGAGTCAGGAGCAGCCATCCCAAGCCCTGGCTCCGGTGTTCTCCACTCACCGTCCCAGGAAGAAGGCGACATAGATGAGCGAGGAGAAGTGTGTGAAGAACTGAAAGAGGAAGATCTTCATGGTGAAGCTGTTCTCACGCTGGGTGGAGGTCCGTGGTTTCTCTAGGAAAGGGAATAATGCCCAGGGGCTTGCTCACAGAGAAGTGGGACCTTGCCCTGTTCCCCCATGGGTGCCATCACAGATCCAAAGGTCCAAAGGGTGTCTGCTTCTTGTGAAGCCTTCCCTGCCCTCCACCTGAGCCCTCTGAGGGAGGTAAGTCCAGCCAAGTAGGGAGGTCCCTCAGAGCCATGAGCTGAGGGAGAAAGGGCCTCAGAGCTGAGAGGAAATCCATGTTGTGACCTCTCCTGGAGCTGGGGTGGATCCCGCTCATGCCAGGTCTCAGCCCTGCAGAGCTGGCTGTGGGGCAGCTTGTGGGCACAGGTGAGTGTGTGCTGGAGGGCTGCTGGCCCCCCTGTCTGGAGCTGCCTGGGAACTGCCTTGTGCTGGTGGAGGCAGGGAAGGGGATGGGAGGCTGGCTGGACGCTGCAGGTGGGACACACCTCATTAATTTCCCTTACCCAGGTCGCAGAGGAAGAGGGCCACTTTCCAGTTGACCTGCAGGACAATGGGATACCATGAGCAGGGGGGAAGCTGGCCATGGGGAAATGCTGCCAGGCACACTGTGTAGCTCCCCACCTTGGTCATGATGACGATGGTGAGGTAGTGCAGCACGGAGCCCGTCAGCACGGCAACGATGTCGGCATGCTGGCTCAGCAGGCTCGTGTCGCTCTGTGTGAACACCGCCACAGCCATCGCCCGGTAGATGACGAGTGCGTGGGCAATGCCAATCAGCACCATGATCTGCGGGGAGCGATAGGAGGGCTCAGGAGCCACCCAGGGCAGTGCTCCATTGCCCCTGGTGGTGCCCTCAGGAGGGCCCTGGAGGAGGCCTCAAAGGCAAACCAGCGCACTTCAGTGGAGGCCGACAAGTTTGTGAGGTGGTTGTAGTGATGGGACAGGGAGTAACGGGTGCAAACTGAAGGAGGGGAAGTTTAGGCTGGATGTTAGGAAGAGATTCTTCCCTGTGAGGGTGGGGAGATACTGGAACAGGCTCTCTGGGGACGTTGTGAATGCCCCAATGCTGGCAGCGTTCAAGGCCTCAAACAACCTGGAGTAGTGGGGATGTCCCTGCCTGTGGCATGGGGCTTGGGACTAGATAAGGTCCCTTCCAACCCTTACATTCTGTGATTCCAGGATTCTGTGTCTCCACCTGAGCCAGTTTCCATTGACCCATAGCAGGGACGAGTGCACTGGGATTTGCCTCTTCCTGCTCTCCATGTCACTGCCTTGATCCCCACTGCAAGAGCAGAGCCTTCAGCCCCTGTCCCCGAAGGGTGGGTGGCCCCTGCTGTCAGCACAGTGAGGTGTGGGCATGAGGAACCCCCAGGATCCTTGTGATGGGCATGGAGGTGTCCCAAAAACCTGATCTGTGCCTTTGCTCCTTTGTCCATGTGCCCTCAAACCAAACGTTTCCATTGTCAGCTGGCACCTACCATCAGCAGGGCCAGGACGAGCACGATGGTGCTGCGCAGGTAGGAGTGCTGGTACAGCCGGGGCTCGTGCTGTGAGTTATTGATCAGCTGCAGAGCCAGCTCCTCCTTCAAAAAAAACCAAAAAATTCAAGTCAAAAATGGGAAAGAAAGAACCCAGCAGGGCTTTGTACCCTTGTGTCAGTACACATATGGGATGAGCAGTGCTGGAGCAGGACAGGGTGAGCACCCAACCCACAAGAGCATGGCCAAGCCTGATTGAGTTCAGCCTGGGCAAAGGACCCCTCTGACGTGTCT